GCTCCCACAGCCAGCACCCCTGCATCCCTGGGCATGGCTGTGCCCTCAGGCTCGGGGACAGTGTGGGTCAGCGGCCGAGCAGGGGTGTGCAGCCCAGCCCAGGCTGCAGTGTGCCCCACGGGCGGCGTGTGGGCGAGCAGTTCTCCTGGCCCCTCTGCCTAACGCAGACCCTGCTCGGTGCCCCCTCCCTGGGGACAGCTCCATGGCCCTGTGCTGACACCCAGCTTCCCACCACGCACACACATCCTGGGGTGCTTCCACATCAGGGGGGGGCTGCAGCACCAGTGTGCTGGGGTGCAGGCAGGGAGGCGAGGGATCCTGGGGAAGCGAGGGGCCCAAGGAGTGAACCAGGATGGCGGCAGCCCCTGCTCTCCTCCCCAGCCCAGCTCAGGGCTCCACGTGCTCAGCGCCGCTCACCCCTCCATCACCATCCCTACACCCGTGTTGACACGTGTACCAACACCAGACAATAAAGGCTTAGTCTATAGGGTGATGCCTCTGCCTCCAGTCCTTCCTGGCTACAACACTGCTTCGTGCTACCAGTGCCGTGCTGCGGGGGTGCTGGCAGCCCTGCCTGCTCCTGGACCCCTCTGCCTGTGGGCCCACTGCTCACCCAGCCCAAGGGGATATGGGGGGGCACACGCTGCTCCTCCTGCTCAGGGATGGTGCCCAGAGCCCAGGGGCACCATCCGCATCCTGCTCTGACCAAGGGCTGTTGGTTTGCTGCCCACAGGCCTAGCACGGGGAAGCAACCCCATGCTGCCAGCAGGGCTGCGTGGAGCCGGGTCTGCAGGCAGCTCAGCTGTGTCCTGCTCCCTTCCCCAGCGACTGGACAGACGTCCCTGACAGGCCCGTGCAGCCACTGGGCTCAGCACTGCAGGACCCCCCTATGGGCTCACACCTGTACCCCTGTGCCCTGTGCCAGCAGCTCATCTGAAGCCATGGTGCCCCATCCATTGCGCCGGGGAGGGGGTGGCACAGGAACAGCACGGTTGGTCTGTGGGATGGTCTGTCTGCTTACCAGCAGTGGCTGTGACCGTGCCATCCCCTCCTGCCTCTGGGGCACCCAGCACCGAGCAGGGTGGGATGCACCTCACCAAGCCCTTCCTGAAAAGATGACACAGTGCAGCCAATTGTACTGCAAAGGCTTTACTGGGGGCTCGATACGAGACAACCCTGCTGGGATGTAAAGCCTTACCCTCCTGGGGGCAGCTTTCCCACCTCTGGGACTCTGCACATCTACCCTCAGCACCTGGGGCTTTCTGCTGAGGGTTTCATCCTGTCCCATGCAGGCAGGATACCGCTGCCCAGCGCCAGGAGTCAGCTAAACCTCGGGGCATGGTGAGGGAGCAGAAAGAACCCTGCTCCTCCTGACCAGCGGGGGCTGCCGAGAGGCAGGGGAGGAAGGGCAATGGGACACGGGACAAACAGGTACATGGGACCCCTGGGATGTCCACAATGCCCAGGAAGCCCCTGCTCAAGGCTGGAGCTGTTCAGGGCATCCTCCAGGCAGAGGCTACACAGCACTAAGCAATGGTGACGGCACCTCCACCACCCTGGGGCCCCATCCTCATCTGCTGTAACAACCTTGTCCCCACACGCTGGGGACTAGCTGCAGGACCCTCTCCCGAGCACAGCACCCCTGGCTAGAGGTCTGGGTGTTCTCCCTCATCACGTTTGGGTGGGGTCTTGCCATCAGCAGTGGGAGCTTGGCGGGGCGGCAGGGTGGGCAGAGGCCTGGCAGGGGCAAACTGGAACTCCTCAGGCACAGGGGCATCAGGTGTCTCCTTGCGGTAGAAGCCCAGCTCCTGCACCAGCTGGTTGATCTCCTCCCGGGTCATGTCACTCAGGGGGATTCTCTGCAGGCAGACAGAGATTGCAGCCGGCGCCTGTGGGGCACCAACCACCCCAGACCCTACTGCGGCGCTGGGTGCCACACTGCCCGCTCACCTCCAGCTCCTCGTATCGATGGCTGAGGAGCACAAGCTCGGGGTCAGCACCAGGCAGGTGCTTCATCTCCAGGTTATGGCTGGGCAGTGTGTTAAGGAGCAGACAACACTGGGCAGGCCCATGCAGCCCCCGTCCTATCCCATCCATCATGTCCCATTCCTTCCCCTCCCCTCCAGTACTCCATCCCATCCCATCCTCCATCCCACCCTCCATCCCACCCTCCATCTCACCCTCCATCCCACCCTCCATCCCACCCTCCATCCCTCCCTCCATCCCTCCCTCCATCCCATTCTCCATCCCATCCTCCATCCCATCCTCCATCCCA